AGGCTTCCAAGAACTCCTATGCGGCCGATTTTGTGTTGGAGATGTCTGCAAGGAGCGCTGTCAAAAACCTTTTAAAGTCGATGTAGATGGCATACCCTATACTGCCTACGCCGCATGCTTTTATCTAAATTCACGGGAAAGTAGCAAATTTCATAAGACAGGACCTACTGCTGCAAATCCGACTTTGGTGTCGGAGAGACGACTCCATTCGAGGAACTGCATTGCAGCTTTCTTTATGACTTATCCCATGATTCTGCAACAAATTGATGTAGAGCTCAATGGCATGTAGTTATCCAAAGGTGCTCCACTTCTATTCTTAAACAGCGGGGTGATGGTTGCCAACTTCAAATCGGAGGACAGGAACCCACTAGAAAATGACGCCTGAAGGGCAGGGTAAGCAGCTTGAGTATTTCAGGAGCTAGTGTCTACAAAACTTGTTTGGGGTCACATCAGATTCTGGAAAGGTGGACCGTGCTATGTTTTGAAAATATTCCAGTAGACTTGTCACGGTGCACTGGACGGTTTTAATAATAGACAAAGCCTCGTCCCCATAAGGTGATGGGAGCATTGTTAGAATTTCGGAACTGACAGCTGTAAATATATTTTATAGAAACGATGCATAGAATTATCCATTCTCTCCTTATTGAGCAGGCAATTACGTCCCCTTCAAAATTTTATACTTGAAGGGAGCTTATAGGTCGGCTTTGAAAACTAGTCTGATTACCGATGAATTTTGAACACGACCTGACGGAACATTCGCATTTAGGGTTTTTAAACTGCAGGCCCTACATTTTCCGTGTACGGAAAACCATACTTTACCATACGGTTGTAGGAGAGGACAATATTTGGTACATACAATTTAACAGTGGATTTGAACTATTATGTTGAGTCATAGACATCACCTAGTTGATTGATCAGAAGGCTTTATGCGTTGGAGCATTGACTTCGGGTGATACTGTGCAGTACTCGCGGCGAGCCGAGGCCCTTACTGATCTCGGTGACGTGAGCTTAAACAAAAAGTAAGATAGCAAGCATAACATGTGAGATCAACGTTTATTTCTAGCAAAATTTATAGAAGAAAACTTATTTTGGTATGTGTATCTATTAAATATATATTTTTTAAATTCATATGACAGCCAAAAAGTATTGCGAAAAGTGCATGCCACATACGCAGCCATATTTTACCGAAAGTAGTTTCTCAAGGAGGTCGAAAATAGGGGCTTTTAAAAAACCTGGCCAGTCCAAAGCACGATACGAGTATACTCCGTGCCAGTCAATATGACAACCCCACCTTAGTAATCCTTCCTAATCGAAAACGTGTATCAGAATTTCGGCCAAGATTTCATAACATCGATGACACACTGTACTTCTTTGCATTTGCTCTTCTTTCAATTGTGCGATGATATCTGAAAATGTGATTCTTCAAACAATCCATTTTTGCCTTGGTCAATAGAGAGAAGTTGCGAGAAATTGAGCAAAATATTCAGGTGAACGACCAGGCTTTGTGGGTGTTTCGCAGGGTGTAAGAAGAGGAAGAGATGGATCTGTATGACTTCAAGAACTTTCGTATGGTGTGTTTGTACATAAGGGGATATAGGTGAGGCACATGAGTACAAATATGATCGTTAGGACTTAGTCAAACTTGAAAACCGATACAATAACCAGAGGTACGTATGCATCAGGCAAGGGTTCATTGAGGCGCTAAGTTTAAAGGGACACTGGGAAGGGGGTCAGTGGGATAAACTTATGAGCATGGCTATGGATTTGGCCTTGATCCCCGCTAGGTCTAGGATACAGGAATACTTACAGCGATTCTGAAATGCGTTTTCGATTAGGAAGGAGCGCGGTTAAGATCGAATATCCGCTCGCCTGCAGGAGTGTGTAGAAGAAACCACCGGTATTACGGGTGAGTTTGTTCTAACAGCCAGGGCAGCAATGGTTAAAATTAATGTAGGTTTTAGTTGAAGAATGGGGCCAAGGAAATATGGGGTCTAATTTATAACGCTGGGGAATGGACTATGTTTGTAATCACGGCTATGGCTTGTGCTTAGGTTTCTGCCAGGTCTAGGACACATGAATACTTACAGTGAGTGATTGATCTCAAGAACTGTTGGCCGAGATTCTGGAATGCGTTTTCGATTATGAAAGAAGGCGGTTAAGGTCGAATATACGCACCCCCTGCAGGAGTGTGGAGAAGGGAGCACCCGTATTACAGGTAACTTTCGGTTGACGTCAAGGGACATCTGGCTTAGGGTTAGGGTAGGAAGTTAACATTCAGGAAAGTGCCAAGGTCAATTTAGGGCTTTAGGTTTAAGGATGCGTTACGCAGTATGTTTATGATCACGGCTATGGTTTAAGCTTAGATTAGTATTAGGCCCAGTAAATGGTAACAATTAAAGTGAATGACGATTATCACGAAATTTTGGCAGAAATTCTAAAATGCCTTTTCGATTAGGAAAAAAGGCGGTAGATATGGAATACACGTCCCCCTGCATGAGTATATGGCAGGAAACGTCCGTACATGGCGTTGCTGTCGGACTTTTTTTCGGACAAGTATTGGTTTGAGTAAGAATGGGATTAACATTCTGGTTAGGGCCAGATACATCTTGAGCTTTAGTGGTAAAGGTTAGGTGTGGGTTAAGATAGTGAGTTCGGCAGTGCTTTGCGCTTAGGTTCCTGCTAGGATTAGGACACGGAAATACTTACAATGTTTGACGGATCTCAAGAAAGTTTGGCGGAAATTTGTAAATGCGTTTTCGAGTAGGAAGCAAGGCGGTAATCTGCTGCTGCGTGGCACAGCTGCGAGGGGTCCGGCTCGTCAGTGCGTCCCCGGCATTCCGTGTCTGCTTTCTGGCAGATACTCCAATATAGAAATTGTTCATTAGAAATTAATTGCGAACTCGGAATCGATCAGTATATTTAGGGTCTATAGACACAGACCAAAGTTTTTAGGTATGCATTTTTGGGTCATCAACAGTTTCTAAATTGAAGCGTCTACCAGACAATAGACGGGAAATGCTAAAGGACCCACTGACAAGCTGAATCCCTCGCAGCTGTGTCATGCAGCGGTAGAATACCGGCGAAACACGCGTGTATGGGCTTTTGGCTACTACTTGTGCTGTTGGCATGGAATCAGCTTGCCCCAGAGCATACTGTTGGCTGTCTGTCGACAGTTAATGAATAATACGCGGTTATCCGCTCTGGCTGGTGGACTTCAGCCCAAATATTTGGTCTGTGACTATAAACCCTAGATATACATACATACGCGTACATTCACAATGTCTTATTCACATGGTTTGCTACGGAAGAAGTTGAGTGTTAGATGACATTGGGTGCTTTCTTGCAGACCACGATGACTGAATATGGTCACGAGTGCATTGGCTGTCTATGTTGGTCGACTTTGATTAAAACATATGTCGCAGTGTTCTTAAAAAAAATAACATACATTTAAATCTTGAATTTTCTCCTCGAAGTACTAATGTTTCGCTAAGTGCACCAGTTCATATAAGTGGTAAAATACCACAGTCTGAGCGTTGCATCACTGTACAATTTACTTTTTTCGTTATTTCGTAGTGGGCAGACCTGCCTTCTAGATATGCAGTAAAAGCTTAGCGATCATAAACCCTACATATACTGAGTTGCTCCAAGTCCGTAGTTAATTTCTAAGAAAATTAAAATAAGCAATTACAGTCCTGTCAAGCAATTATTTATGCAGCTCGATTTGCAATTTGCCGGCTGTTTCCTGGATGATTCTTTGACTTTATGTGCAGTAGGTCACATGGATGGGCATTACCAAACGCAACGTCTAACAATGCAAACTTTGAATTCTCGTCCTGTTTGCATTGCTACATTAACCATTTTGGATTCGAAATTGATATATATATATATATATATATATATATATATATTGTAAAGGTATTATACCGTACTCCCGACCTAGATACTTGCTAAAAGCCCAGACACGTGCTTCGCCGATATTCTGCCGCTGCGTGACACAGCTGCGAGGGGTTCGGCTCTTCAGTGGGACCCCCAGCGTTCTCTAGCGGTTTCCGGTATATGAACTCCAGAGAATAATCAGGTGAATAATTTCGGAAATTAATCAATGCAGAACTTGGAGTGTGTGTGTGTGTGTGTGTGTGTGTGTGTGTGTGTGGGGTGTAGGGGTGTCCAGCGGTGGGTTCACGTGAAGGTCGTAGTGGTCGCTCACTTGCTTGCAGGTGAGACTACGCCTAGCGTCCATTTGCTGGCACCCAACTCTCACCTGTGGCTCCACGTAGCTGGGCTCTGCTCAGCGGCCACACCCCGGGCAACCGCCTCGACCGGCGGGCTAAACCAGGTGAGGGCGCTGTGCGCTTGTGCCGCGTGCACAGTGTACTGCGGGCTCCTCTGGACGTTTGGTCGGATGAAACGTTGCGCCGGCGTCGTCGAGACGAGGCTCTGCCTGGTACGCCGTTGGACAGCTGCTGCCGGGATGGGTCCCCGCATCGCCTTCGCTGAGACGCGCCCACCTACGCCGACGGAGACCGCAGACCTCGGCATATGAGGTCGTTCTCCACTACAAACATAAAGTCGTGGTCCCATAGTGGGATTCGGTCGCGCCAAACAGGCACACAGGCAGCCCGATTCGGGGGGCACTGCCTGACCCCATTACGGGGGAGGGCCTAGAAAAGGTGGCCTAAACATTGCTGGGCACCACGCCGTCTCCAGGATAGCCAGGGCCGCAGACGTATAAACATGGTCGAAACACTCAAAACCGAAACAACAACAATACCAATAACAACAACAACCATACTCCTTCTCCTCATCCTACCTCTTCTACCTCTATCTCCGTCTATTCTTCTGCCTATTCTTCTCCTTCGTCATCTCCTTCTCCACCTCCTTCCCGTCGCCCCACTCGTTTTCCCCAGACTGACAGGGTGAGCCCGCTCACTCTGGCAGCCTGGAATGTTCGTTCCCTTTTAGACAATCCGAGGAGCAACCGACCGGAACGGAGGACGGCGCTAGTGGTACGAGAACTGGCGCGCTACAAGGTGGACATCGCCGCACTCAGCGAGACCCGATTCTCCGAACAAGGCCAACTGGAGGAGGTGGGTGCCGGTTACACCTTCTTCTGGAGTGGTCGACCCAGGGCAGAGCGACGAGACGCGGGCGTCGCCTTCGCCATCCGGACCGACATCGTGGGACGACTGCCCTGTTTGCCGAATGGAATCAACGACCGCCTGATGAGCCTCCGCCTGCCTCTCCGGCGAGGAGGCAAGTTTGCCACCATCATCAGTGCCTACGCTCCGCCGATGACCAGTTCCGACGCCGTCAGAGACAAATTCTACGAGGACCTGCACGCCCTCTTGGCGACTGTGTCGAAGGCGGACAAGTTGATTGTCCTTGGCGACTTCAACGCCCGCGTCGGCACAGACCAAACTGCCTGAAGAGGTGTGCTGGGTCCCCACGGTCTCCGCGGCACCAACAACAATGGTCTGCTGCTGCTCCGCACCTGCGCAGAACACCGCCTCATCCTGACGAACACGTTCTTCTGTCTGCCGGAGCGATAGAAGGCCACCTGGAGGCATCCTCGGTCGCGTCAGTGTCACCTGCTGGACTATGTCCTCGTTCGGAGGCGAGATCAGCGGGATGTGCTGGTGACGAAGGCGATCGCGGGTGCTGACGGGTGGACCGACCATCGCCTCGTCATCTCGAAGATGCGTATTCGCCTACAGCCTCGCAGGAGACCACAAGGTAAGCGACCCCCAGGTAAGCTGAATGTTGCTTTGTTGTCTTTGCCTGCTCACCGTCTCCATTTCAGCAATGAGCTAGCTCAACGGCTAGACAACCTCCCAATCGCCGATGCCGCCGCCGCTGCCGAGTACGCCTCCGTGGAGAACCGCTGGTGTCAACTGCGAGACACGGTCCAGTCGACGGCGCTCGCCGTCCTCGGTCGCGCTCCCCGCCAACACCAGGACTGGTTCGACGACAACGACGCTGCCATCAGAAATCTGCTTGCTGAGAAGAACCGCCTACACAAAGCCTACGTAGATCACCCCACTGAGGACAAAAAAGCTGCCTTCTACCGCAGTCGCCGCCAACTTCAACAACGACTGCGCGAGATGCAGGACTCCTGGACTGCTCGCAAAGCTGAGGAGATCCAAGGCTACGCGGACCGTAACGAATGGAAGAACTTCTTCTCTGCGATCAAAGCTCTCTACGGTCCGCCGACGAAGGGCACTGCTCCTCTCTTCAGCGCCGACGGCAGTACTATTTGACTGAGAAGACGCAAATCCTGCAGCGATGGGCCGAGCACTTCCGAGGCGTCCTCAACCGCCCTTCCGTCATCTCCGACCCCGCCATCGCCCGCTTGCCGCAAGTGGCGACCAACGTGGACCTCGACCTCCCGCCATCTCTCCAGGAAACGATCAGGGCCGTGCAGCAGCTCTCTAGCGGGAAAGCACCCGGATCGGACGCAATCCCTGCTGAGGTCTACAAGCACGGAGGTTCACAACTCATGGATCACCTGACTGCGCTTTTCCAGGAGATGTGGCGTCAAGGTGAAGTCCCGCAAGATTTCAAGGACGCAACTATCGTGCACCTATACAAGCGAAAAGGGAATCGCCAAGTCTGCGACAATCACCGCGGCATCTCCCTACTGAACATCGCCGGGAAGATCTTCGCTCGCATCCTGCTCAACCGCCTCAATAACCATCTGGAACAGGGCCTTCTGCCGGAAAGCCAATGCGGCTTCCGTCGTCACCGTGGGACCACGGATATGATCTTCGCCGCCCGCCAACTTCAGGAGAAGTGTCAGGAGATGCGGACCCACCTGTACTCTACCTTCGTGGACCTGACGAAAGCCTTCGACACGGTGAATCGTGAAGGACTGTGGAAGATCATGCAGAAATTCGGCTGTCCAGAGCGATTCACTCAGATGGTGCGTCAGCTGCACGACGGTATGATGGCGCGAGTCACGGACAACGGAGCTGTCTCAGAGGCATTCGCAGTGACCAACGGAGTGAAGCAGGGCTGTGTGCTGGCGCCTACCCTCTTCAGTCTCATGTTCTCTGCCATGCTGATGGACGCCTACCGCGACGAACGCCCCGGGATCCGCATCGCCTACAGGACGGACGGTCGTCTCCTGAATCAACGGCGCATGAACTTCCAATCGCGCGTATCCACAGCCACCGTGCACGAACTCCTCTTCGCCGACGACTGCGCCCTGAACACCACCTCGGAAACGGAGATGCAACGGAGCATGGACCTATTCTCCGCCGCCTGCGAGAACTTTGGGCTGGTTATCAACACGCAGAAGACGGTGGTGATGCATCAGCCGCCTCCCAACTCAGCCACAACGCCCGACGCGCCGCAAATCAACGTGAATGGGACTCAACTGCAAGTGGTAGAGAACTTCCCGTACCTGGGCAGCACGCTCTCCCTCAACACCAAGATCAACGACGAAGTCGCCAACAGGATCTCGAAAGCCAGTCAAGCCTTCGGTCGCCTCCACAGCACAGTTTGGAATCGTCATGGTCTCCAACTGAGCACGAAGCTGAAGATGTACAAGGCCGTCATCCTGCCGACGCTACTGTACGGAGCGGAGACCTGGACGGTGTACACGAGGCAGGCACGTCGACTAAACCACTTCCACCTCAGCTGTCTCCGTCGCATCCTGAGGCTGAACTGGCAGGATCGAATCCCCGACACGGAAGTACTGGAACGAACGGGAATCCTCAGCATCTACGCCATACTGAGACAAATGCAACTGCGCTGGAGCGGCCACCTGGTGCGCATGGATGACGAGCGTCTACCCAAACGACTCTTCTACGGAGAGGTCGCGGCGGGTTCTCGCCGTCAAGGAGGCCAGATTCGCCGTTACAAGGATACCCTGAAGTCCTCCCTGAAGCGCCTGCAAATCAACCCGACCAACTGGGAAGAGCTCGCTCGCGATCGCCCGACATGGAGGAGAACAGTGAAGACGGGCGCTGCTATCTACGAAGCCAACCGCATCGCAGCCGCCAAAGTGAAACGCGAAGCCCACAAATCACAACTTCGCCCAGTCCGCAACGCCGCCGCACAACCTCTCCCTACGTGTCCTCGATGCCACCGGACATTCCGGGCACGAATCGGACTTGTTGGACATCTGCGGATCAACTGCACCTCTCGAACTGCTCCAGCCATCGTCCCCACGCCCGCCTCTTCCTCGTCCTCTCTGCCGCCAACTAACTCTGACACTCCTCCTGCACCACCACCACTTCCATCCTTGTCGTCCTCCTCCCTCTCCACTGCCCCAGCGACGGCTGTCCAGACTGCTGTCTCACACATCACCAACCCCAACACAACAACCGACATCACCTCTCCCACCTCTCCCGATACCACTGATGAGGATCAGGACTACACCTGCCCTCACTGTGACCGCACCTTCACCTCACACATCGGCCTGGTCGGTCACTTGCGAATCCATCGCACAGAGACTGGCGAACCAGTGCTGGAGCACCAACCTACACCCACCGCACTCGCCTCCACTGTCCACAATGCCCTCGCACCTTCCGGCATCGCATGGGTCTATTCGGCCACATGCGCATCCACGAGAGCGGAATTGACCGCAGCCTTGACACACCCAACCCGCCAAGCCCCACTCCCGATCCACCACCTTGTGCACCCACTAAGCACTCCCCAACCGACATCGACGCCACCGACCTTACCACCTCCCGCTCCTCCCATTCCTCCTCTTCCTCCATCACTGCCACAACGACGGCCGCTTCGGCGTCTGTCGCCCACGACTTCACCACAGCCGAACCTGGCACAACAACCGGCACAACCCCTGCAACCTCCATCATCAGACGTGAGGGCCAGGACTACATCTGCCCCCACTGCGATCGCACCTTCACTTCACGCATCGGCCTGGTCGGTCACTTGCGAATCCATCGCATAGAGACTGGCGAACCAGTGCCTGGAGCACCAACCTACACTCACCGCATTCGCCTCCACTGCCCACACTGCCATCGCACCTTCAGGCATCGCATGGGTCTATTCGGCCACATGCGCATCCACGAGAGCGGAATTGACCACAATTCCGATGCAGCCACGACATCCAACACATCCACCACGCCCAGACCAATCCTCGCTCCACCGTCACACGCGTCGACCACCACCACCACCACCAACACCACTGCTTCCTCTACAGCTGACACCGACACCGCCAACCTCTCATGCCCACATTGTCCACGCACCTTCACCTCACGCATCGGCCTGGTGGGTCACTTGCGAGTCCATCACACAGAGACTGGCGAACCAGTGCCTGGAGCACCAACCTACACCCACCGCACTCGCCTCCACTGC